ACTAGTGTGCTGAATTGTCTTATTGGTGTGGACAAAGAGCCAAGTAGTTCATAGACCTTAAGATGGACATAAAATAAATGTTCAAGCGGCGTTTCATTGCTATGCAGTGTTCCCCCGTATCTTTCGGATTCGCTCCGTCCGGATTTTATTTTTTTTCAACACTTATTTTCCATGATTCACAATTTTTGTACCCAGGCCAATGCATGTGGCATCTTGGTGCTCAGGAACTATTTCCAAGTCAGTTTTGACCAGCTTCATTGAGACAAAAGTTGTGGTTTACTGCCATCTTGTGGCATCTACAGACAATTTTTAACCCTTTTTTTTGGGTGGGGGTGCGTCAGTGACTTGCAAATTGTCAGCTGGGAACACCGTATAGCAAAGTTGAGTTCATGCAAGCGACAAAAGGGCCGTCGCCAAACTAACAAGTCAGTCTCATGCCGCCCAGTCTCATGCCGCCCAACGTTCTTGTTCCCTGCGATGAAGCTTCCGTTCGAAAAACAAGCGCACTTCCTCACTGATGCAAACGTATGGTCTATGGACGGGAACTGTAAATAACAACAGCTCAGGTTTTCGCTCGTCCAGCTGGACAACCAACAGTGCGGAAAGCTGCTCGAGCTTTGATTTCATATCCTCCATATCCAGCTTGACGTTCGGGTACTTAGTTTATCAATTCCTCTTGACATTGTAACGTTGGAAATCGTTAACATCAGACACCATTCTTTTGACAGTCCACTGACTTATCCTACTTGTGAGGGCTAAAGTACATACCGGTACGTGGACTTCATCTGGATATCAAGGGTATTGAAGACATGCTCAGACTGCTTTTCATACATTCTGAAATGTTCAAACTGGTGTTTCTTTTTCTCTCTCCCCTCTGCATCCATCCCAATGTTTCCATGGCACCGGGAGCTACTGCTTCATTTGCAAGATTCAAGGAAATGTTAGCTACGTTAGTATGTAGCACCTTTAAAAAAATATTTTTAAAAAAGGCCCATGTGTTTTGAGGTTGGCTTCATTTTAATCACGAATGTGTCCGATGGGGATTCTGTACTCATACAACTTTGGGAACAAGTAATGTCAAATATTTTATTTGTTTTTCCTGTGTTAATCTCATATTCTCCTGCTCTTCCTCAACCTGTCAGATTTGTTCAGCTGTGTGGGGTGTGTGTGGCACCACCTCTTGTTTTGTTTTATACCTACAGGGAAACTTTCGATGAAAAATAAAACAAGAATGAAAAGCAAATGAGGCTGATGACTTGTCATTCATCGTATTTCGGAGGCTGGGAAATGCAATGCTTAAAGTTTTTCACACGATTTAACTTTAAAAAATGTTTTTAAGAACGAGACCATCGACTGTACTGGATTTTATACTGTACTGTGACTATTTCTCGACACTAGAGGGCAGCAGCATCAAGATGTTTTAATTTATTCGCCGCGACATAATTTTACATACCGAGTACGTTTCACAATAGTGTATTTTTGTATTACTGTATATCCATCCATCCAAGTACATTAATTTTAAATCTATGATCATGCATTACTTTATTAAAATAAAATAGCACACAATTCTTATAATTATAAATCATCATATATATATATATATATAATTTTTTTGTTTTACACAACTATGTCTATTCAGTGGACATTTTAAAAGCACAGTTTAAACAATCTTTATTTCGGCCTCTGAAAAGTGACGTTTTCAGAAAACGCGCGTTCGAAATTTGTCAACGAAACTACTGAATAAAGTTTTGTTTAGTTTTTTTTGCAAGATTACCAATGCGCATGCCCACTGGATCGGTGAGACTCATCAGCAGTGGTGTTAGCAATTAGCTTGTCGCCTCTTACTTCCTTCGGTCTAAACGCCTTTCGTGACACCCTTCAACAAATTCACCGTTCCTTTTGCATCCACTGGGATTATCGGGACGAAAGCGTGAGGGAATATGCCCAAAAATAAAGGTGAGGTTGGATTTGTCCCAAAGCGCGCCGTTGCGACACACACAAGACAAGCACGGAAAACGTGACAAGTAGCAGCTAATGCTACGTACCTCCGCAGATGGCATCGTTATTGTTTATTGTTGATGAAGCTTTGTCTATTCTTGTTTGTTTTGGACGATCTTTTGTCGTTTTTTTTTTCAGGAAAAGGCCGAGTATCGGTTCGCCGGCTCGTTACGTGGTTAACGAGCTACTTTGGAGTTTCACCACACCCGCTTTGGCCTCTACATTTCATTTACCGCCTTTCTTTTTTTTCTGTCTATTTCAATACAATCGGACCTTGATGAGGTTTGATATCTTGTTATGCTTCAGACCGTGTTATGTTATGTTATGCTGGACAGGTGTAATAGTGGAATTTTTAGCCAATGGGTCTGACGTACTGTTGTGTCTAATCAATTCAGCAATTGATTGTAAAGTGTCCTTGGGTATTTTGAAAGGCGCTTATAAATAAAATGTATTATTATTATTTATAAATTTTCGCAACCGTTTGTTAATATAGGTAGTCACGAAACGACAAATCCTTTGAGCATTTCCTCGTCAAAGTTGACATTATTTTGTGCTAACTAACCGGTGTCCTGATTCTGCTTCCTTCCAGGTAAGGGAGGAAAGAATCGGCGGCGTGGAAAGAATGAAAACGAGTCTGAGAAGAGAGAGTTGGTGTTTAAAGAGGACGGACAAGGTAAGTTAGTTCATCATCATAAAATCAAAATGCATGGACATCTGGCTTCGAAGATTTGGCACTCTTTCTGGATCGTCAATAGACCCCCATGACATTCATTCTTCGTAGGTTTGTGTGTGAGCTGGAGATACACCCTGGACAAGTAACCGACTAACATATAGACACTTATTCATATTCAAGTTCACACCTGTGGGCCATTTAAAGTCATTGTTGAAGGTGTCATGCATGATTTTGAGTTCTGGGCGGACCCTTGACAACAGTCAACTCCTGGTTATTGATGTGAAGAAACGGCGTTACTCAAAAGTCCCCAAAAGTGACAGTCTGTCACAATGTGTGGTTGGAATGGCCACTTTAAGTTTAGTCCATATTCTACAAAGATGATAGCCACTTCTCACATTGCTCCAGAATATTAGCATTTTCACAACATATTCTCCATCTCTCTTCCAACCGCGTGTTTTCCAGAATACGCTCAGGTGATTAAAATGCTGGGGAATGGCCGCCTGGAGGCCATGTGCTTCGATGGCACCAAGCGGCTCTGCCACATCAGAGGAAAGCTGCGGAAAAAGGTATACACACACACACACACACACACACACAC